TTTTTCCAACATTTGTGGCCGTATATCGGCAATAACACGGCGAATGTTGTCTTCCAAATGGTCAAGCGTTTGTGGCTTATCCGCATAGACCAATGACTTTACATAGCCCCACAGAAAGTAGTCTAGCGGTGTTAAATCACAAGATCTTGGAGGCCAATTCACAGGTCCAAAACGTGAAATTAGGCGGTCACCAAACGTGTCTTTCAATAAATCTATTGTGGCACGAGCTGTGTGGCATGTTGCACCGTCTTGTTGAAACCACATCTCCTGGACATCATGGTTATTCAATTCAGGAATGAAAAAGTTAGTAATCATGGCTCTATACCGATCACCATTGACTGTAACGTTCTGGCCACCATCGTTTTTGAAAAAGTACGGACCAATGATTCCACCAGCCCATAAAGCGCACCAAACAGTCAGTTTTTGTGGATGTAACGGTGTTTTGACATACACTTGAGGATTACCTTTACTCTAAATGCGACAGTTTTGTTTGTTGACGTAGCCATTCAACCAGAAGTGCGCTTCATCCCTAAACAAAATTTGCTTATGAAAATTGGGAACAACGATAATCTCGTTTTGGACCCATTCGACTAATCTACGCCTTACTTGATGATCGTTTGGCTTCAATTCTTGCACGAGTTGGATTTTGTAAGCACGCAAACCAAGATCCTTCCGCAAAATCTTCCATAAAGTGGATGGACACAGATCCAATTCCTGTGCTCGATGGCGGATGGACTCCGGGTCTTCCTCAATGCTACGCTGTACAGCAGCAAGATCTTCTTCTGTACGCACCGTACGGCGTCTCTGGGGATGCGAGTTATCAATAAGAGTAAACGTGGTGCGAAAACGTTCCATGGTTAATCGAATTAACTGCTCTGATGGACGATTTTGTCGACGATATAATGGACGTAGTGCGCGATACGTTTTCCGCACAGAACCATTATCTTCGAAATAAAATTGCACTATTTGCAAGCGTTGTTCAGGCGTGAGTCTATTCATGATGAATTGCCAAACCAAACTAGGAATAAATCACTTGACAGCTGTTAAATCGGTCGCCATCTTGAAAAGTAATGCCAACTTAAAGTTCTATACCTCTATAAAAAACACCCATTACAAAACGTCAGGTTAATTTCGATATTGTAACTTTTTTAGTGCTTGTGAAAAAAATTGTTATACAAATTTTATGTACCCCCTTTAAGGGGCTGTATAGCAAGGGATGCTCCAATGAAGTTTCTTTATATGAAAGATCCTACCTTTTTTTCGATGAGGAATCACCTCCCTGAATGTTTTACACTTATTCAGTTACACCCTGTATATATAGCAGAAATATTTTTTTCAAAGCGTATTTCTAAAAACAAAATTAGCGGATTCAAAACACCTTCACCACCTACCTACCCGCTTACGCCGTACACACAGCTTGTTGGACCGCATTCCTTTGATCTTTCAGCGAGGCATATGCAAATGACACGTGCAAAAACACCCTCTTTATGTTTATGCATAAACCCCATTAGGTCGCCTTCCAGTCGTTTGCCAATGTCGGGCCATGGGGGCTCGGTCATAAAAAATGCAAAGTAGAGAAATTGGTAATTTTAACGGAGATGAGGATTATTGCTGAAGTGGTGGGAGGCGTGTAGGTGGCGGGGTGGTATCTCATATTCATGATCGAAATAACGTAAGGGAGAGAGATGGACATTTTTTGTTAATGATACTTTTTGCTGAAATATAAGGTAGTTTCAAAAGTTTTGTCCGTTTTAATGTTATGCATTTTTGTAGCTCCATTTCTCAATTTCTCAATTTTCCAAATTTGATTTTGTTGCCTCGTTTCAGCTTATTACTAAATGATGTCTTTAAGCGATTCTCGGCCAATTTTTCTCTATGAATTCAAATTGAACGAAAGCGCTGCCGAAAGAGCCCAAAAAATTAACTAGGCATTTGGCAATGATGGAGATTTTAGCCTCGAAGATGAGTCTTGCACTGGTCGACTTCTAGTTATCCTAGGCGATGGTTTGAGGATCCTGGTGGAGACTGACGCATCACAAATTATGCGTGAGATGGCGGAAGACCTGGGCGTCAGCCCCCATTCGGTTGTTGATGGTTTAAAACGTATTGGAAAGGTCAAAAAGCAGGCATTTTCCAATGGCGAAAACCCACCAAAAAAGACCGTGGTTACTGTATGGTGATCAGCGGCTGGTGTGATTCACTAAGTTCTCGCCATTGACAGTGATGACTTGGTCAATGTTATAATTACTTAAACTTTTTGTTAACTGTTTGAAGTGTGGCGTCCTTTGACAAGTACTAATAGTAATAACAACGCAGACTTTTTCCAGTTTAGTGATTCCGATAGCGATGGTGAACAATGCGAAAAAAAGATACAATTGAATAAGATTCGGATGCATTTGAATATTTAAACACACAGAGTATGTTTCAATGTATGTAATAATCTACATCTCAAGTTTGGTTTCTGGGGAAACAAACTATTACAAGCAGCAACAGATTTGACCAAAATTCCTTTTTCAACTGTANCGGGTCCTCGATTGAAGACAAAATGTGAAAAACCATAAAAGTACTTAATAAAAATAGCTGCGTAAACGCAAGCGAAACATAAGTGGAACCACCTATTGGTGTGACACATATATATATATATATATAGGATTTGAAGCTTTATATCTTCTGGCACTCCTCACCAGTTCAGTTTCAGGAGTGCCAGAAGATAACAGTACTACCAACTGTCGAAAGCGCTCGCAGATAATTAATAGAAGATATGCAAGCTCCCTAATTATATCATTAAAGGGGAGCTGATGGAAGATCGGTTTCACTATATCCTTTACTTCAACTATACCAAGGAATTCAATACTTTCTGACGAAATCACATCATGACTACTTAGTTTAGGTCGAAAGTGAGAGGATCTATTCGACCCTCCACTGCAACCCGCAAAGGTTCATTGGTCTCCTTTGGTTACAATCTCCAAACGTTTCAACTGCAACAGTCATCTTCAGTGGCGTATCAGAAGATTGTAACTAAAGAAGACCTCGGCAATCCCCGGAAACCAACGAAAATATTGACGCCTACCGTGAAAAACTACATTCCTATATTTGCTATTATTGCTATTATTTGTCAAATCAAAATATTCAGTTGAACATTTTATTTTG